TAGTTATTGTACCAAATGATAGGTTTTATTATTACATTTCTACACATTTATAACATTAGTTATTATACCAAGCAATGGGTTCTAGTAGGACATTTTTACACATCTATAGCATTGTTCTTGGCTGGTATTCACCCCCACACTGCCCTTTCTCCCATTCTTCTTCCACCCATTTTTGCTTTTTTCCCTTCTTCCCAAACTGAACCCCTTTACTTTTCTGTCATGTATATTTATGTCTGGATTTTGCATGTAAGAGGTGTAATATTTTGTCAGCCTTTCCCCTTGCGTTCTCTCATTCCCCCAACTTTTCCCCTTAGTTCTCCTCCTTTGCTAGGCTATCAAAGTCATTTCTTGCCAAACATCATCTCTCAGTACATCTGTATGTCAGATTTCATGGTCTGTGTGAGCCCCTGAAGTTCAATGTCCAGGTCCTTCATGACTGGGTCGGCCAGTTGGAAATGTGGGCTCAGCAGATGCCTGGGGAGAGGCCGGCAGCGAAGCCTCCCCATGGGGATGTCAGCATGGAGACAATCACCCCAGGCAATCTCCTGGCATAGTACCTCTGCCTCCCTCCAGATGGTAGATGCCCCAGGCAGAAAGGCAACACAGCACAGAGCCTTGCCAGCCAACCACAGACTTAGACACCAAGGATGCACTTCTGTGCCTAGCCCTGATACAGGCCAGTCCTCTGTCCAACCAAGGTCACAAAGGTCATGGTCTCTGCAGCCGGAAGTGGGCACCTTGCTGGCTCGCCTACTTAGCCATTGCCTCCCCTGTTATTCTTTTTGGTCTCTGGTCCCTTTAAGGGGCAAGCCACGCCCACTCCCAGTCACTTTTGACCTCTCATCACCATCTTGGCCTCTTTCCCTTTTTTCTTTTGGCGTGTGCACACGTGTTTTCTGTCTTTTCTCTCTCTCCTTTTCTCTGTTTCTGTCTTTCTTTCTCTCCCTCTCCTTCTCTCTCTCCCTTTCTTTCTCTGCCCCCTCCCCTTTTCCTCCATAACCCCAAATAAATATTTTAAATCTCATTTTGCATGTCCATGTCTCTGTCTCCTGCCTGCCTGCCCACAGCCAGTTCTGCCACTCACTGTGAGGAATCTGCACCGCTCTGGCAGCCTCTGCCTGGCTCGCGGCTGCTCTGCAAGTCCGTTGCCTGGGTATCTTGGACAGGCTGCGCGGCTGGGCACGCCAGCATTATTTTTTTTAAGGAATATTATCCCCTAACTCAGCTGATAGCAAGTCATTCCTTGGGTTACTTTCTTTGTGAGTGTGTGAGGCTGTGACCCGGCACCGAGGATGAGAGTGAATAGTGTTTGCTGTGAGTGAGCCAAAGGGTGTGATCATGCAGGATTTATAAAATCAGATACCCTCCAGGGAAGAACGGCAGACACTCCCTGGCCATGGGTTTCGGAGTCAAGGTATATGGTTCCCACAGCGACCCTAAGCAGCCTTAAAGAAGGGAAGGCTACTTCAGAGGCTTTAAGCCAGCAGACCCCAGCCTGTATTTTTTCCCCCGGTGTCTGTGGGTGTCTTGGGGTGAAGAACCCTTCTGGCTGATGGGAAGGCTTTCAAGGTCTGGGGAGATCATTGTTCTCAGAGCAAACCATCACTAGTTGATCTGGAGAGATGGCTCAACAATTAAGCATCACTGACTGCTCTCTGGAGGACCCAGGTTTGAGTCCCAGCACTCACATGGTGACTCACAGCCATCTGTAACTCTAGCTCCAGGGGATCTGATGCCCTCTTCTGGCTCCTGCAGGCACTGTATGCACATGGTGCACACACACACACACACACACACACACACACACACACAGAGGCAAAACACCTATATACATAAACTAAAAACAAATAAACCTTAATGACAAAAGCAATCCATCATTAGAGCCTTATCTATGGGAAGCCAGTTCTTGTTGAGAGGGAGGGGCCAGGCCTGGCATTGGGAGGAGAAACAGATTAGCCACTTACTGAGATACTTGTGTTCTGTTCTTAACACACAGCTAAATTAATCTCACATGGGGGGGGTGGGAGCTAGGTTATTAGTCCCATTTTACGGAAAAGAAAACAGGCACAGATGATACAGAATTGACTTTGTTATTTATTTAGTTACAAGAGATAGTCAGGAATAGGCTGACCATATACACAACACGTATTCAATTCCATACAGATCTGCCAGATCCTCTAGCACAAGATGATGTAGAATCAATCAGTTATTGATAGGAAGTGTGCTGAAGGCCTCAGAATTTCATTAAAACATCATGTCAATAGCAAAGGTTTTAAAAAAGACTTCTCCATCACATGGCAACAAGCCAAGGAAATTATAAGAAAATGTTTTACTTGCTCTTTATACAACCAAACACTACTACCTGCAGGAAGGAACCCAAATGGCAGTCAAAGGGATGAAATCTGGTAGATGGATATACTCCAGTTTTTAGAATTTGGAAAATTAAAATATGTACACCACACCATTGATACCTATTCAGGTTTTCAATGGGCAATTGCTTTGAGTTTGAAAAAGGCTGATTTGGTAATCGTTAGAAGTTATGACCATCATGGGTATACTTGTACAAATAAAGACAGACAATGCTTCAGCATGTGTCTCTAAGAAAATGAAATAGCTTTTGCTTATTATAATATAAGGCATATTATCAGTATTGTACACCACACAATCTGACAGGATAAGCAGTTATAGAAAGATCAAATAGAACTCTAAAAAGTATGTTAAATAAACAGAAAGAGATAATAAATTCCCATATATATATGTATATATATTGCATAATGCTTTATTAACTTTGAATTTTCTAAATGCTAATAAGAAAGGAACAATAGCTATGGAGAGACATTGGCTAGTACAAAAAAAACCTATAGAATGATATCAACATATATACTTTAAAGATGTCCTGACCTCAGAATGGGAACCAGGACATGTGTTATGTTGGGAAAGGGGATTTTGCTTTTGTTTCCATCGAAAAACAAAGGCAATGGATACCATCAAAACTGTTAAAGATTCAATTTGAACAAGAGACACCCCTTAATTAGAAGAGATGATAGTTCATTAAGCACCACAGCTGTTTAATCTAAACTAAAGTATAAAACTAACAAATGTTGTTCATTTGATCAGATATAACTTGCCAAAAGAGACTCTCACCAAAGTTAGGATTGGGGAAGGGTTTTGTTTCTGTCATTTCAGGAGAGTGAAGGTTTCCAGCTAAGGAATCTGAA